CATTCTACCAGGAGGCACCAGTCCCTGGAGAAGGACATCATGCTGGTGGAGGGTCAAAGAGAAAGAGTAAGACCATCAGTGAGATGGATTGACACAGTGGCTGCAACAGGCTCAAGCGTGGCAATGACCATGAGGGACCAGGCGGGGTTTCATTCTGTTGTACAGGGGTTTCTATGAGTCAGAACTGACTTGAGGGCCCCTAAGAAGGGAGGAACTCTAGCTCATATACACATGGGTAATGCAAACAGCGGAGAGTATTTGCTGTAGTGAGCATGTTAAATATCCAATAGGAGACTGAATTTTCAAAAAAACCCAAAAAACCTCAATAGGGTTATTAAAAATAAACGTTTAGTCTTAGAATGATTGTGGATTCACAGAGACATTGTGAAGGCAGGAGCCTTGGTGGCCAAGTGGTTAAGCTGCTAATGAAAAGTCAGTAATTCGAACCCACCAGCTGCTCTGTGGGAGAAAAAGATGAGGCTATCTGCTTCCACAAAGATTACAGCTTTGGAAACCCTCTGGGGGCAGGTCTGCTCTGTCTCTTATGCAACGAGTTTTTTATCTGACTTGATGTCATTGGCTGTATTTGGGCTGAGATCACAGATTTACCCATCATGGACTTTGCATCTTCCATGCAAATGTAAATATAGCTGAAAAGGAGAATGATGTCTAAGTATTATCAACAAAATAGTTTCAACCTTGAAGGCCCCCTGAAAGGGCCTTGCAGAATCCCCAGAAGTTCACAGACCATGCTTTGAAAACAGCTGCCCTAGAGGAAATTCTGTGCTCTTGGGTGTATTTCTAAGTAACACCACCATTTTTGAACTGTCTTGAAAAGATTATGTTAGACCTGCCCTGATGTCTTGGGAAATTGCTAATCTGTTTTATTTAATTAGACCCATGAAGTCACTCCTAAATCCACTTTCTTCTCAAGCACCCCTGGATGGACTAGAACCTCTAACCTTTCAGTTAGCAGCTCAGCATGTTAACTGTTCCCACCATCCAATTCTCCCTGCTATCTACTGAAAAATCAGCCGTTGGAAGCTCCGTGGAGCACAGTTCTACTGCCCCACACGTGGGGTTGACATAAGTCAGAATCAACTCAAAGGC